GGCTGCGGTGGAGGTTGGAGGGTCTTCTTACGTTGATGTGGGGAATTTGATGCAAGAGTTGATGGAGAGGAGAAGTGCAATTTAAAAGGTAGAGGAGTTTGGAATGAATGTGATTGTAGTTTTGCTCAAAAATTGAGAAATAAAAGAGATCGAGTTCTTGGATTCTTTGTTATAAGGCATCTTGCTAAAATTTTGAGAAATAAAAAAGTTTTTGGATTTTTTGTAAAAAGCTACTTTAGTTGTAATCGTCATGATTCGTACGTGGAGCTAAGAAACTTGAATCTACCGTCTTTGATGACTCAGTTTTCATGCTGATCTTATCTATGTCTGATGATATGGTCGGTGTAATTAATATAAAATTTTCACTAAACCCTCTCTCAACTTCTCAGAGTCATATACTTAGTTGGTACAGTATGATTAAATAACAAATGAAGAGGAAGATTACCTGTGAGCGTAGCTTGATATTAAAAAGGATATATAAAAAAGAGTATGAATTTAAATAAGAGTTGTGGCAAATATTAAAAACTTTTTAAGTATAGATTGGTTTCTAGCATATATTTAAGACCATTAGCTCAATTGAGCTCGATATCTCCTCAACAAGTTCTACTACAATTTCTTAATTCTAATGATTTTGAATGTGTTTGGACATGATGTCGTGCGTTCAGATACGACGTAACAGATGGTCGAATCGTCATGTGCCTAGGTATACCCTATCATAGCATCAAATGCATAATTTCTGAGTAAAGTTGATCTCATTCTCTTCCTCTTGCTCTACTTCAACAACTAATTGCAAGAATCGTATAATTTCTTTTCTAATTAGGCGGTAATTAGAGTGTGCCCAATTCTTTCAATCATTGCTGGACATTCCGAATTCAAGGGCCGAAACTAGGTCACGTATGATTTTCATTATTGTCTTTTAAAAACCACTATGGTTTTGAAAGTCACAGTCACAATATAAAAGTCTTGGCTCCCTTTTGACGAGTCATCAATTTTGAAAAAGACTAAAAAAAATGTACCTCACACTTTTCTCTCTTGTAGTGTACGTGGAAATAGTATAGCTCCTATGAGCATTGACTTACCAACCTCGGTTTTTTGAAGCTCATTTAACAACATAATAAGCTGCCCATTCAGGAGCAGCAATAATCCCTTTGTATTAAGGGCTGTTTTCAAGTTACAACAGATGTTACGTGTAATTCTTCTATTGAGAACCATCTTTCATGTTGTAGTCTGAGTACGCAAATATCAAACTTAATTAAGTCAATCTCATCACCCTATATATACTCTTTGGCAGGTGTAATCCTTCAACAGGAATCTACAGCATGGATACCTTCGTCGTGTTGGAACGCCCAGGTTACTGTGTTGGCCGCCGTCGCCGGTGCAATTCCCGTCTTGGTAATTCAACACAGAGTCACAAAGGACGATGCCATGAAACGATTGATAACAATGATTGTTGACTAAAGTTTTATTGTTATAAACCATACTCCTAGCAATAATTTAAGTGAAAAATTAGATTACCGAAATGTATTTAATCCTTTTTTTTATTGCCATCTCCTTGCCCAACAAATTTTCGCATCGGCTGTCCTGATATCGTTATGCTCCTCTTCTATTAACTACCTGCTAGAACATTGAATAATAATTCTCAATTTCTTATTATGACTTTGGAGTTCTGATACAATGGTTAGAAAGACTTTCATCTGCTATCAGAGCCTTATCTGAGTGCGCTTAAATAATACTGTAGTTGCCAATCTGGAAGTTAATAATTGCTCCCAAAGTGTCTCCTACTCTGCACGTCAAAGTAAATGGTTCAACTATCCAATTATTCTCTCTTGATTGAACTCGTGGAGCGCACACTGCATACTATTCCTCTCCGTCGGATTGAATGGTATGAAGTGGTGGGTGATTATTTACCCATTCTCCTTGAGTCAGCAGGCTCGCCTAAGCCAAGGACGCAACTATCTATTACCATTCTACTTCCTTTTGTTAAAAAAAAACGAAAAAAGAAAAATAAAGCTCTTTGCTAGCACAGTGGAATGACTCTGGATTTTTGGTGGTCGACCGCGATGAGTTATGCGGTCGATCGCGCTTGAACCCAGATGAGTGGGTCTCTGGACTTTTGGCGGTCGACCGCGATATGTGCTCCGTGGTCGACCGCGCAGCGGGTTTGGGCCTGAGTTGTTTTCCAGACCCGTTTCGTTGTGGGTTGTAGGGTGTAAAATTTGATCTCCCGAAATGGGGACTTCATTTGTATTGATAATAATATCTTATTACAAACTAATGAATCAAAGTTATAACAGAAGCTGAGGGAATGCCCTCCTTGTTTAACGTGAGGTCTTTGGTAGCGCTAGGACGCCTCCCTTGGTGCTCGTGCCGAGTTTGTTTCCCTTGGACGATCCGATCGACATTGCGGTTGGAGCTTCAGTACGTAGTAGAGGTTCGGTTGGATGAGTTCGATGGTCGAGCAATTACTTGATTGCTCGGAGCCTAAGTACGCCGAGATCTCAAAGTTCGGTCCTCTTCAGCTGAGGATTCGAACGAGATCACGAACAAGCTGATTGCTAAGGAGTTTGCCAAGAGCCAGACTCGGTTCTCTTAGAGCTTAAGAGAACTAATTGCCAAGGAGCCAAATAGGTTCGGTCTTGATCAAGAGTTCAAGACCTCTCTTTTGATAGCCATCATTGGCTATTTATAGTGGAGGAGAAGCATGACCACTCCCTCAAATTATGGGATTGTGGTTGAGGGGGACCATAACTCCATCCCTTAAATCTTAGGATGTGACCATTAGAGGTGAGGAGAACCATACTCCAGATCATGGGGAGTGGGTGTACCCACTCCCATGTTTTAAGCTCAAGTGGCTGACTCGGTCCAGCTGTATATGCAAGCTTGACATTGCAGGCGAACTGGCGAGCTTTCAGGCGAGCAAGCAAGTCTGCAGGTGCACTTGGATCTGCAGGTGAGCTGGTGCATGCAGGCGAGTTGGCAACGTTACAGGCAAGCTGACGACCCTGCAGGCAGGCTGGAGAACCATGCAGGCGAGCTCAAGTCTACAGGTGGGCGAGCTTCAAGCCTTAGACGAGCTCGAGAAGTCATCATGCGAGTTCAAGCATTAGGCGAGCCCAAGGGGATCGTCAGGCAAGCTCCTAGTTGTTGGGTGAGCTTGCCTTGTGCATGCGAGATTCAAACATGCATGTGAGCTTCATGCGTACAGGCGATCTTGGGTCAAGCAGGCGAGCTTCCAACTGTCGGGCGAGTTTGCCTTGTGCAGGTGAGCTTCAAATATGCAGACGAGCTTGGTAGGCGAGCCTGTACATGTGAGCCAGCCTCATTCAGGCGAGCTTAAATCTTGAAGTCTTCAGGCGAGCTAAACTCCTTGGCAGGCGGGGTTGCTCTTCAGGCGAGCTTCAGAACATGCTACGAAGAACATGTCATAACTTTCAGACCGTAAGTCGGAATTGAAAGAATTATATATGAAAATCGACTATCTCGACAAGATGGAACCAACCAAACTGATCCTAAAGGGTTCGGTTTTCTCCTTTTTGTTTTGCTAAATTCCTTCCTGTTTGAGAGAGATCAGCATTTTTCTCTTTTTGCTATTTCGGGCGAGATTTTAGCTGTCTTGTTCTGAACTTCTCTGATAGGGATTAAATGTAATTTTTATTACCTACAAAACCCCCTCCAAAGTTTTCAGACCTGAATCAGGCCGCATGAGGTCTGGAACATTTTGGATATGAAGACTTGCAAAGTAATCACTGCTCAGACGGAGTGAGGAGCCTTTCAATAAGCTTGGTGAAGTTGACCTCTTCACTCACAGCTGATGATCGCCATCTAGGATTTTGAGCAAACCTTCAGCTATCAACAGACTTGATTTGTCTTTACCAACTGTCATTTGAGTTGGACTAGCCATGCTCTTGCCCTTAGCATAGTAAGTTGTTAAGGAGTTTCTCTTAGGCTCAATGCTAAGATTTCTCCTCTATCCTTAGCCTTTTGAGATGTTTGGATTAAGAATGTAGGGAGCAGTTTAACCTTGTATACCAGTCGGAGGGTAGGAGCAGTTTAGTATCGTGCACACCAATTGGAGGATAGGAAGCAGTTTCACCTCGTGCACCGGTTGGAGAATATGAAGCAGTTTTACCTCGTGCACCGGTTGGAGGAAAGGAACAGCAGTTTATACTCGTATACTTGTCGGAGTAAAGTGGCAGTTTCACCTCATGCACCGGTTGGAGGAAAGGGAGCAATTTAGCCTCGTGCACTGGTTGGAGGAAAGGAGCAATTTCACCTCGTGCACCGATCGGAGGAAAGTATCAGTTTTACCTCGTGCACTGGTCGGAGGAAAGGAGCAGTTTTACCTCGTGCACCAGTTGGAGGAAAAGAGCAGTTTCATCTCGTGCAATCTCGTGCACCGGTTGGAGGAAAGGAGCAACAATTTATACTCGTATACTTGTCGGAGTAAAAGAGCAGTAGTTTATACTCGTATATTTGTCGGAGTATGCCGGGTTATCCTTAAAAATATTATGTGTAATATCCTCTAGGAACTTCCTGTCAAAGGTAGGAAATAGTTTATACTCGTATAGCCATTGGAGTCTTGAGGAGAAGCAGTTTATACTCGTGTATTCATCGGAGTTTGCCGGGTTATCCCCAAGAATATTATGGGTAATATCCTCCAGGAACTTCCCGTCAAAGGTAAGAAACAGTTTATACTCGTATACCCGTTGGAGTCTGCCGGGTTATCCTTAAGAATATTATCGGTAATATCCTCCAGGAACTTTCCGTCAAAGGTAGGAAACAGTTTATACTCGTATACACGTTGGAGTCTTGAGGATAAGCAGTTTATACTCGTGTACTCGTCGGAGTTTACCGGGTTATCCTCAAGAATATTATGGGTAATATCCTTCAGGAACTTTCTGTCAAAGGTAGGAAATAGTTTATACTCATATACCCGTTGGAGTCTGCCGGGTTATCCTTAAGAATATTATAG